TTATCCTTTCTCGTCTCTCTTCTTGACTTTGCCCTCTCATATACATTTAATATATATGGATTATTTTACCATTTAATATAAGAACTACGAAGTTCACATTGAAAATCAGCTAAAAGTTCCCACCATGATTTGTGTTTAGATTACTGGATTCAAAATGTTTTTGTCTTTTTTTGTCTCTTTTGTCTGTCTGCCTCCTCACTCCTCAAGAGTGTGGTTTTCAATCACATACATGGAGCTGAATCACTGCACAGGTGGAACAGCTGTCGAACAGAAAGATAGACAGATAGACAGATAGAGAAGAAAGAGAAGGAAGGAGGGAAAATTGCTGATAAACAGCACTAATATGAAATATATAATAAATATAATACTAAAAGCACTAATATGGCAAATATTGCTCAAAAACAACACGTAGCTGGTGAAATATTCCAAAGAGATTAAAAAATAAAAACCATATACAAAAAGGGTAATTTACAGCACTGTGTAGCTTTTGTAGGTCCAATTTTAGGAGGATCTATTGACAGAAAAAGAATGTAATAATGTTTTTGTTACCTTCGGATGAGCTGTTTTTATCTATAGAGGGAGCAGGTCTTCTTCCTCTGAGTCCAACATGTTAAACCGCCATGTTTCTACAGTAGCCCAGAACGGACAAACCTGGGTCTAGATTGGGCCGTTTGCGAGTTTCGAGGCCACCATAGTTTCTCATACACGCTTGGTTGAGTCAAGTGGTTTCAATCGATTCAATTTGTTGCAATCTGCAACTTGACCGCCAGATGCCACTACATCCTACACACTGGTCCTTTAGCATGAATGAGGTCACTCAGTCAACTCCTTTGGGGAAGCCAAGGTTAAAGCAGCCATAATAGGTTTTTCAGCTGCTCTTTTTAGTTTTACAAATTAGTTTATCCAATTTTAATATTTATCATGCTGTGGATACTGTGGAGAGGAAAAGACACTGATCTCATATGCTGACACAAGTTTCCACCTTTTTGTCTGACTTCCTCTCGAAAAGCCATATAATACAGCCTTCTCCTTCCCTCTCCTTCCCTCTCCTCTGTCCATGCATTTGTCCTCTAGACATAAACAGCCTAACATTGTCCTCCTACGTCGTAGAGCTAGTTTAAAATGTGTACAAATCCTTCCTCAGCAGTGTCATCTTCAAGCTGATTGGGACCCCATTCATAATTTATCTCTAATGGAATAGTTAATGAGTCTTTGTGTTCCACTCTTTATCGCTTTGTCCAGGCCTGTTTGTCTCACCTCATCTATACTGCATGATTATAAAAACAACCAAAACTCAATCAGTGGGAGGGTATTTACAGTTGCCGAATGCTGATGGATCAAATTATTGAAGGATGCATACTTGATGAAGCCTTTTGATGAGGAGCAGTTAGCATACTGTTCCTAACTGCCTTCAAACAGCAGTTGGTTTTGAATTTGGTTGGTGTGTAAAGGCTGTGTTGAAATCAATTGTCCTTCTGAACTTAAGTGTAATCAACAGCTCATTTGAAACAGGGGAGGGAAAGTAGGATTCAGGTTCTTAAGGTTGATACTACATTATAGTAACCAGCATAGGGTATAAGCTACACATAAGTGTGGCCTCTGTTGGGACCAGACCATAACCTTTGGAGTATTAACACCAGACTCTACTCATTGAGCTATACAGAACCAAATTACGCCAACAGTCTTCTAAATGTGGTATAAAACAGCCCTCTGCCAATGTAGCCTGCCTGGTTATTAATGGAATTTGCAACCTGTGTCTCGTGCATGCACACACACACACCCACACATACATATGAGGCTTATTTTCTGGTCAGTGAAATACAGTTAGCAGTGCTTCACTGCACTGGCTTACACAATTAGTGGCCCAATGGATTCAGGGGATACACTGTGTTGAAACGAGAGGCTAAAAGGGAAGAAAGAGAGAAATAGATAACACGTGGTTAATTGTGTGTAACAGACCAAAGGAAAGACCAAATCTCTACCAGCCAGTCAACGCTGCATGTTGCGTCATTCTTCTGTCTCAGAATCACTGCAGGTTGACATTTATTTTTATGACTAATTTAGTATTGACTTGTGGGAACTTTATCTGCCACTACAGATACTGGCACTCACCAGTCTTTTATTCCTTCGTTGTGCAGTAGCCATTTTGACAGTCTCAGTGTGCCCTTGGGCTGCATTTGACCTTAGAATGAACAATGATGTTGACCCTTTTCTCCCTCACACCCTGTCTTTCTCAAGCTGTGTCCCGGTTCATGAGCTAGATACTTGAAATCCACATGAACACACATTAACAAAACACATGTGGCACAAAATGCAGTTGTATCTTTTGATGCCAGAATCCCATAACCTTTTACAAGCCAGTTGTTTAACGGAGGCTTTTGGTGGTCGTTCTTATATCCACATACATCAGGTGACCCTCTGTTTTCATGTGGTCCTCAGTCAATAGTAAATATATTACTTAAACTGTACCAGTGAAAACATCCCCTGCAGGATGTAAATAATGGAAACTGCACTGGCTTTAAACTCTACTGTTTGGTCTTGTTATGAGCTGGAATATGTTGCAATTAAGTAAATATTACATAAATGTTGAGTGAAATGTCAGTTTGGTCAGTGAAACCAAATGCTGTATAGCTGACAAATGTCAATTTGTGCAACTTCTCCGTAATGAAATTGGAGGATTTTACATTTCTAGGAACACTGTATGGCATAATTAGATTTTAGTTGCTGTGAAACTGAACCATCTGGGATGGAGTTAAGTTAAGAACTCACATTTGTGGGCGGCATACTTTTTTTTATTACCATATATCTTCAGTTTTAAAAGTCTTTGAATACTGAGTAATAGTCCCCTCTTTTCTGCTTCCTTCCTTGTCAAATAGGCGCCATCTTTGATGAGTCAGCACGGAAAGATGACGAGGTGTTTCGCCTGGCCGTGGCAGATCTCAATTTGAACAACGAGATCTTGGAGACGGAGAAGATCACCATCTCTGTGGAATTCGTTGATGGGAACAACCCCTTCCAGGCTGTGCAAGAAGGTAGGGTGATAATACTACGTTGTTTTAGAGTTAAGCATTTTTACCTAGGAGTAACAGGGCCTGGCAGGTGAGTTTCAGTTTCAAGGTCAAATTTCTCATGTTCTTTTTGTGCTGACATACAAGTATATTCAAAGAAGAGGACCTTATTTTGCTTGTGGGCAGGAGTTCTTTCTACTGCACAAATGTTCTGAGTCAGAGTGAAATGAAAAGCTTTTACTTTGGCTGAAATAGTTCTGTTTTTAGTTTTGGTTCAAATCTTGTTTAAGCACAGCTCTGTGATTTGTCTTTCCAACAGTTCCTAAACAGATACTAATGTTTTTCATTCCAACTGTTCCAATGCAAATACTGAAAAAAAGGTAAACGTGTATAATACACACTACATGCAAGAAAAATCTTAATCTTGCTATGAGTGCTCTCAGTAGCATAATGCTCTCTTGCAGGCCTGTCTCTGTGTTTATGTTGACCCTTTTTTAATAAATTGAGAACAGTGAGACACAGGAAATGAATTCATGTAAAAACACAGCATCAAAAAGTTGGCACAAAATCAGCCTCTGTCTTTAATGTTCCCTAGGTTTTCATGCATGGCTTGCATGTCCTCTGAGTTGACCTGCATCACACAGTCTGCTGAGGATGGGGCAGTGTTTTATTTATTTCTTCTTTCCTTTTCATTTTGGTTTATGTTGATGTTGACAGCCAGTATGCAAATGTAGTTTTGGACAAGAAATGGACTCTGGAATGTTGATATATGGTAGTCAAATAGTCAACACACTCGTCTGCATAGCTCATTTTCATCCATGTGTACATAGATTTGGATATGCATGCCTGCCTGTCAAAGAGAAAACCAAAACCAACAGGCTTGATTCTATATTGAGAACTTTAATGTCAATGCTCTAGTGCAACAATTTTATTTATTTATTTTTCTGATATCCTAATCTGATTAATTCATCAAAAGGCCCTCAAGTGTAGAAGTGCAGAGTTAGAAGCAGTTTTGTTACACATAAATAATGAATGGGGTCAGCAGAGCAACGGACTACAAGAGCCTTGTACTACTTTAGTTAATGTATTTTTTTATTCACATTAATAGGAAAGTGCACACATATACTAGATATATTTTAGATAAAAATGTAACCGCAAATTGTGCTCTTTGGTTTTGATGATCGTTTGTTGCTGTTGTTAGAGGCTTTTCCAACATGTTATAGACAATCCAATTTTAAAGAAAGACATTTAGAAACAGAACTATTTAAAGAACTATAACATATTTTATGACTGCTGCCACTTCATTTTTTCATCATAAAACAAAGTCAATTTTATACTGGTAACACAAATCATGTTTTCTCTCTACACAACCATTGAGCTGTGTTAAGTCAACACTTTTATCTGTGTGCAGGTTAAATGCGGGATTACAGGAATTACGATAACATGGAATGTCATTAAAACAAGCAGAAAGATAGGGATGAGTGTGTGGGTGGTACTGTGGCATTACAGTGATCTGGCTTTCAGTGTTGCATGGCAGGTACAACACACATAACAACCCCAACATCAGCAACATAGAAACAAGTAGTCATACACAAAATACATGCACATTTAGGATGGCACACACAGAGGAACTAATACACATATGTGGAGACTGTGGACACACACAAGCCACCAGCTAGCCCCCTTCTCCCAACTCATAACATTTTAATTAAAAGAAATAAGAGTGCAAATTGTTTAAAGAACAAATGATTAGGGATAATTTATTATGGACCTAATTTTCACCACTTAAAGGAATTAAACTCTTTTGTTGTGTTTTGGGGTCAAAGATGATAAGAAGTCAATTGATCAGTTGTGGGCGGCGGGGGTTCTCACTTTTCCCCACTTATTCAAACACAGCAAACAACAAATAGAGTACAGTACATCTGATGGCCAAGCAACTTTTAGTGGCACATTCACTTGATCTCTGTAACCATTTTAATCCTGAAATACTGCAAATTATATCTTGAAGATAACCACCTAATTGGTGCATGAAACAGTATTACAAGTAGGAGTGAGCTGAGCTACAACTGCTGGCTATATGGACCAGTGTCCATGATCGAGAACACATATTGCACTGAGTGCAAATTTCTCATGGTTTCTCGCTGGCTGCCTTTTTTGGAATCACAGAGCGAATTAATTCAGACTTAAAGGGAATTAACCAAAATTCAGAATGGATGAAAGGAAAATACACTTACTCATTGGTAATGCGCTTTTTGTTTAATTCTCTTAACTGTCTTTGTTTAATTCTCTCTCTGATACTTGTGCTTATTTTAAAATTATCTCACGTTGCAGGGGACAAACAAAAAGAACAGCTTGAATTCACATTTAAATATATTTTATGTATCTATTCTTGACAGTGGCATACTTTAGACATATCAGGCTTTTCAAGACATTTCTTGTGTACAACAGTGAAGCATGGTTTGGCACCAGATCAACCCGACAAGCAAAGTACTTTACCTAACGCACTCGTAAGCAACTAGCCATTAATTAATTTAAAGTGCTCAAAAGTCTTAATGAAGCCTATTTTCAAGACACACAATTACATGATGCTTAGCAATACTGCAACCTGCATTGCAAAGCCACAAAGGACTGCTTGTGGCCATATGAGCAGTCTTCTTTCAGTACCGAATATCTCAATAAAGTTGATCATTAAGGTAAACAGATGAAGAAAAGATTTAATGTTAGAAATGTGACTGAAACATTTTTCTGTCAAAACATTTTTGCACTCTAGTACTTGAAACTTATCATTTATCGTTTTCAGAAATTGTCTTATTACTTTGGATGAACAAAACCCAATGGATTTAAAGAGGCAACAACAAGATGCCTGAACTTAGTATCCCTTCAATGATTTAATTAACTGATAATCAAATGCAAAGGCCCCATTATAAACACCCGTGCACACACTGAAACAAACACAAACACAAAAAAACATTACATAGCCTTGGCTGAGAGAGGAAGGAGAGAATAGAGAGAACACATCTGTGAGCCTGTTTGCATTTCAGTCAAACAGGCATCAACCTTCATGCTTTTTGCAAACAATTGTGGCCAAACTTTAAGTGTATCTTTTTTTATTTTTTTTCCCCCCAGATATTAGCTCAGAGGACCTTGTGTGAATGCACTGTGTGTGTATGTGTGTTTGTAAGAGCCTTGTTAAGGCAGTTGCTTTGATATAAGGGCGCTGAAATGCTGTTTGGTACTCAGGCTGTAATTCTTTGAAGTCCTAACCTGAGTAGTGCTATTATCTGGGCCCTGCGTGCACGTAGGCTAAATGTCTGTTTGTTTCTTACTTTCTTATTTCGAGGACAGTGAGCAGCTTGCATCTGTCGTGTCTTATTTAGAATATCAGCATTGTTTTAAATGAAGATGGAGAGTAACAAGTGATGTTACAGCACAGCAGGAGGCAGCATTTGAACACTTGCTCTTTGACCGAGCAGACTGAGCCAACAGCAAAGTTCCTGTGTCCTGCAGTATAGTGTTTTTTTTTCTGTACATTCTTAAATTTTTCTGCATTTTATCCTTGTCCTTTATGTAGGAATTATTCTGTAACTTCTTATTTTGAACTTTTTTCAGTGTAGCGAATGCTTTTTTGCCTATTGTGCACATTCTTTTTTATAAATATAGACACAGTTACAACTTGGAGCTGCCAAGTACACCAGTACTGTACTGTTGGCTGCAATAGAAAGCACATAAGGAGAATCTGAGTTATTTTCTGAAGAGTATACAGTACCTATTCGCAGCATTGGTTTTGTTGAGGACAGATAAAATGCCGCTTTTTATGTTTTGTTTGGGACTTCAACCAGCTAATTTCAATGCTTTTCAATTGTGCTTCTTTCATCCTTGACTGATTAAACTCCTGCAGGCCACCAAGTCCCTCAGCCTGTTGACTCGTCTGTCCAAATTATTGGGAGGGTCAATGAATACTTCCCTTCCCTTCCCTTTCCTGTCTGCCTGGTACTGAACAGACTGCCTGACTCATTTCCTTGTCATTCTGCCTGCCAGTCTGTCTGTTTGCCCAAATGTTTGTGTAGTTAGCTGGCTGATGAATTGATTGCCTGTCTCCCTATCTGCCTGTCTATCTGTGTATTTGTCTAGCTAACTGGTAACTTGGCTGGCAAATCAATTGTCTTTGACTCTGTCTATCTCTCATCTATCATGGTTTCAGTTGCTTTGCTTGGTGCCCTTTTAAGCAGAAAGGGTGACATCAATTTAAAAGATTTAATTTAAAAAAAAATGTCAATACTATGAGATGTGCATTTTATATATTAAACATATAATTAAACACACTGACCTGATTTACAAAGCTTTCCTAAATTTGCTTCTCCTTTGTTCATGCTTGTTGAAATTGCAGCAAGTAGTTATAAATTATGAAATAATAACAGATGTTCCGCTTACCTTTCACTAGCTTAGATTCTGCTTACAAGACACGCAGTACACTGTAATAAGTAGTAAAAGTGTAGCAAAATGCCCAAACACTTTAGTTCAATCAAAGAATCGCTATCACTATTCGACAATCGGTGTGTTTAATAGCAGCATGGAGGCATGTCCGCCCTAAGGGCTATATTAACATACATGTAGTTGTATAGGGGTAGTTTATGCTTTGCCTTTCATTCAGTTTGTCCTGGTGTAATTAGCAGAAGATTTACTAAGGTGGAGGGTCATTATGCAATCAGCACTTCAGACATTCCATGTAAAGCAGAGCTCAGTAGGTGCAGTTCAGAGGTGGGATTAGTCGCTGATCACAAAGCTTAAAAAAAAAAATCATAATGTAATAATGCTGCATAGAAATACTGACTAATTAGGTAGCATTCTTCCAAAGGAAAATGTAGTCTCAAAAAAAGGAGCAGCACAGTGCATGAAGCCTTCTGATCTGGTGTGGGGAAGAATGAGAGGGGAAGAATGAGAGGGGGAGAGAGAGCAACAGGTCCAGCAGAAGCTCAGAGAGGAGGGTGGGCTGTTATAGTTGTGATATGCCTGATGCGGTAAAT